CGTGGAGAATCGGCTAAAGTTCTCGCCTGCGCTTCGCCTTCGCTTGAGGGGGTGTTGTTAATTTTTCATTCGTAACAGATAAACAGCGCGGCGGTAGAGAACATTACTGCGATTAACGGGAGCTCCCCGGGCGAAGAAATGTAATGAAAAAAGTCACGCGGGTTCACGGAGAAATATAATTCAAGATTAACGCGTGGGGATGACGTGTAACGGACATAAATCTCAGGTCGCCGGGCGAGAGGCGATCTTTTTCGCACCGTGAGAAGATTCTCCGTTCGAATAAACCTAGGCATAATCGTAAACAGGAAGCGCTCGGATAAATGTACTCTCGTCTATTATAATAAAGGAATAAAAACGAGACCGTATAGAGACTATTCGTGCAGTTCTCTTAATGAAACAAAATGAACAAAAATAATCCGTCAATTGTTCTTGTCACATTTAGCTTTATCTCCTTAACATTTTTAAATTGCAGTACAGTGGAAAATGAGATTGACTAAATGCATGATGAATTTGATCGGTTATAACTTCTTCCTCTTCCTTAAACTGAAATGCCTAGAACTGTGAACACACTTCGGGCCGCCACGAGCTAATTGACTGCCGCTAACACATCGGTCTCGTCGGCCCGGCGACAGTAGTCCCCACGGGCTTTAAGATGTAATAGGATCGCGCTTGGCTATTACCATCGGGCCACGTTCGTCGCGTTATCCTGCCCGTAAGACACCGACGCGTCGTAAATCTCGGTCTGCGATAATCCCACGGGTGGACTCGAGTCAGGACATGAGCCCGCGGCCCCGAGAGAAGAAGGCGAGACGAAAAAGCGTCTCATCCACAGCCGGGAAGTGTCGCGCCGGGAGACCGCGCGCGCCTTATCTCGCAAACGCCTTCGAAAACAAATGTACACGCGGTACCGCTTACGACACTGAATCTCAGCTCACACCGGTGCTGAGGGGTTTAATGCAGCGAAACGGGCCGGAGAAATTGCCGGCGAAACCTGGAAACTTCCCCCTGGTCGCGCGTAACGCCGGTAAATGGCTTTTAGATGAATCGGGGGAAAAACGAGGAAAGACATAAGAATGAGTATGATAAACGTACAAAGTCATTTAGCTCTTATGCGCCAGCCGGAAAACTGGAGATAGAATTGAAGTTATACTAGGAAAATATAAATACAATTTTCTTACAAATCTCTTTCCAATTCTTATTTAAGAGTAAAATCTTGATATTAAAAATAATCGTTACTTAATAGTTGAAGAACAGTATCTTGATATAGGAGATGCACAATTAAAGGCACGGTCGTCGCTTTCCGCGGGAACGCAACGCCGCGCGGTTCGCTTCTTCTTCTTCTTCTTCTCCTTAATGAAGAGTCGTCGATTTCCCGCGAATTCGTTCCACGTACCCCGCAAGACAGAACTCACGAGTCAAAGGCTTCGAGACCTTCGACCCCATCGGGATGCCCGTAGTCACGGTACACCGCAGTCCTTGATACATGGTCCTTGAAGGGGATACGCTGTCCCCCCTGGCGATGCAGCGCGAGGTCGATGTTTCCCTCCCTCGTCGAGCATGCGTGTGCATGTGTGTGTGTGTGTGTGTGCTCTCGCGATGGAGGCAGATGCGATATGGGAGTATCGTAGGCACAGTGGTGTCTCGGGACGAGACAACGGACCACCAACCGGGTATCTCGCGGAGCGACCGACGATGAACCGGATGCATCTATTCCCGCGGGAACGCCGTCCGGTCGTCGCGACTTGCAGAACTCATCACGGTTCAAAGTTCAACGCTCTCCACGGGTCTTCTTCTTCCCGACGTGCATGACACGGGAGATCGGGGTTCGTAACAATAATCGGCCCGATGACTTTCAAGCGCCGCGCACTCGATCGTTAATGTCACGGCGTATCTGATAGTAAAAGTGCCTTGACCGGGGGAATTTCTCAGCTGTGTGAAGTTGCCCCTTCCCCCCCCCCCTCTACTACTAAAAATTCAAAAACGGCCATTACCACTCGATTGTGTGGTGACCGTTTGGTAGTATCTGAAGACCTATTCTGAAACTTTTTAACGCATGCATTATGTTATAACGCATATACATGCGTTACATGGCTTTAAGAGATATGTAACGCATGCGTTAAAAATTTTCAGAATAGGCTCTTTGATAGTTCATTCTCGATGATTGGTATAGTCATTGAGAATGGATTACCAAACGTTAGTAAACAATCACCCAACGAATGCTTACAGTTATAATTACTTACGCAATCTGGAAAGTCATATTTTGCGAAAGGAGGGGCTAACTTCGTGCGCGTATGTCTTTTTTTCATATTAATTATTATTTACTTTACAATTTTGACTACCAATTATCGAGAATGGACGATCAAATACTATCGAACGACCATCAATCGAGTGGTAATGGCCGTTTTTTAATTTTCAGTAGTGGGGGGGGGGATCAATTTTACACTGCTGAATTTCTCCCCTAAGTAAAGCGCACGATGCTGCGACGCAAAAAAATAATACGTATCGAAAAGATGGAAGAGATAATTCCTTAATTTTGCGTGCGCGATAATTACGGCTGATCGGGAGATCAGCGTGTATTTTCAGATGTCCACGTTAATTACATACGTTTGGAAATCGCGTGATGAAGAGCGCAAACGTGATAAGGCAAATGTCTTCGACGTCGATCGCGCGGAAACATCCGGCTCATAGTTGATTCTCTGTACATACACACACGAGCCTGGCTGGTGGTCCAGTCTGGGACACAGCGCGCTCGCGAGAGAGAGAGAGGCCCCATATCGGTCCTTGGCCGCCCCTCGTCGGCGCGGACTACAGGGGCCAGCATTGACCTTCCCGCGCGACGACCGGTGAAAGGGGGGGGAGGCATCGTAGGTGCTCGTCTCCTCAAGGACCATCGTGAAGATCGCCGTCGTGTGCAGTACCGACGAGATGGAAGCCCATTAAGGCCGAGACATCCCGTCCCGACCGTCGTCGCAAATCATAGGTTTAATGGAACGATAAATTCGTATTCATGCCGCGTGCGCGCCGATCCTCCCCCGCACGAAAGTCCATCTCTCTCTCTCCCTCTCTCTCTCTCTTTCTCTCTCTCTCTCTCTCACACACACACACACACACACACCTTTCGCAGGCCGGTGTCCGGCACGTCGCAAAAAAGGGGAGCAAAGGGGGCAACTTTCTCTCTGAAGGAGAGGGCCCGCGATGAGGGCCCGGCGACGACGATGGTGTGCGCGCACCTCCGGAATCCGAATAATTGATAGTTGCGCCGCGTTCCTCGCCAGCAGCCTCCGCCGCGGATGCTGTCGAATGATGCGGAAGAGCGAACTGTGGAGCTAGAAACTAACACGAGCACACGTGGGGTACACGGACGGAAGGAGTTCGTCGACATTTTACTTTCCCCTTCCCTCCGCGTACGAATAAAAAATTCTTACATCATTCCTGTCACACAAAAATTCCATTAATTCGTCATCTTTGACGTACGATTGCAAAAAAAAAAGGTGGAGTTTAAAAATTATCCACGTTTATTAATTAATTAATTTCTTACGATTTGATTAAACAGCGTTTTTTATTTACATTAATATCAAATATATCCGGTATAATATTAATGTGCAAAAGAAGATAATATCTTTAATTAATGCAATCTCCTCTACATGTGTATGATACAATTTATTTATTTAATTTTATTAAATTCTTATTTATTCATTTAATTTTATTTCTTATTTCACTTTACATTAACATTTCCATGGACAATCATCTTTTCTTTTGTGCAATTGCGAAAGGCGAACAATAATAGGTATGTCGTGGAAATGTCGATGTGGACATTATTCCACTCTCGTGGCGCAATAAAACTTTCCAACTTATCGCGGTTTTTTTTATAAATCGCTCGCAGCGGGAAACAACGGGTTACGATACACGGGTAACGGCTGAATTATAATTTTCCACAAGCACGATCGTTTATAAATATTCATGTCCGAGAAATTATTCGCGACGTCGTCCTATGCGGGACCTATGCCCTTCGTCGTTAGGTAAATTGCGTTGCTTGTTCGCACATGTGAGAAAATCGACTGTATATAATGTATCCATTATATCAAGAAGATGATACTCGCTCTTCCCGAGCTGTGCTTCAGGAGAGCAGTTAAAACTCGCAATCCTGAAGAATGCCGAAACTCGTCATGTTTCTATTAGTTCTTTAACACAAACATTCCTGTATATAGATACAATAAATAGATATTACGTTTCGATACAAGGTTAGATATTGTCATTATAAAATAAAAATTTTGATCACAATTGATTTTAATTGATATTTTAAGCTGGGGATAAATATCTCAATATCAATTAGATACAAAATTTATTAAAAATCTCTTCACGGAGAGAATTTTATTTAAAAATTTACCCTGAAAATCATGTTAATCGTGGAACAACATAGTTTTCGATTAATTTTATGTGATTTTCACTATTTTTTTTCAATATATACTACAACAAATTTATTGTAGAGCATAGTTAAAAAACTGAATAAATTACATAAAATTTGTCGAAATACTATGTTATCCCACGATTCACATGATTTTCAGAGTAAATTTTAAAAGGAAATTCTCTCCGTGTTGTCTTAACAATGATTATATATATACATATATAAAGACTTCATTTAATATAGTATCATTTAATATAATATCATTTAATATAATATCATTTAATATATTCATCAAATATTACATTTAATTTGAAGCATAAAAACATATAAAAACGGAGGAAAACCTAAGTTAATTAAATATGTATAAAGAAGCTAAATTATTAATACTTTGTATCAAAAACTACATGTTACACTGCATTTCACAATTTCCTTATACATGTATTTAAATAAGATAAAACCATACGACAAATGTTAATAAGGTTCGTAATATATAAAATATATTAATTAAATATTTAAGATTGTAGGCGTATAGAGGGCGTATTGAAAAATAATAAAATATAATTCGAGAGCTAAGTATAATTTTTATTTACCTATCGTGAGACGTCTGACGCTGCGGCCGATTCCCAGGATCGACAAAGCCGACCGTTGTCGCAAGGAATTTTAACGTGGCCCAACGTAGCGCTTCGGCACATCGCCGGCTCGTGTCCCTCGACCCCAGGCAAATACATATAAACATAAATATCGCGTACATTCCAAACGCTCATCTATACTTCCAACGGTCTGCAATATAAGGGAATGAAACATAAGTTCAATTATAATAATTACTTAATAATCATAATTTAATTGCACAATAATATAAAAAAATAAAATGTGCTTAATTAAGTTTGCATCAGGGAACGCAAGGTGAACAATGGCGTGCGAGTTTAAGCGCGTTAAATGCAAATTGAAGCTAAAATATCGTATCTCGCGCCGTTAAAAAATAGTTGCGTCTCATTAACTTTTAATTATACGTTTGTATTGCAGATGGCCAGTATAGAGGTGTCATTGTCGACGACACCGAGGCGGAAGAAAGGCGGCAGTATTTCCGGGGGCGTCCCGTCCCCCGCTGGTCACCGGAACAGAGATCATTATAAGGAATTGGACGCTCTCCGAGTGGCTCTGCGCGACAAAGAAAACATCATACAGACGTGAGTAATTGCTTGATTACATCCTTGAGATACGGGAGAGAGGGCCATTGATCACGTCCCATTCCTTTATTATAATGATCTCGCGCGCGAGAGAATAACGAATGAGCGATGAGAAATAAGCGGACCGTGTATTCCACAGGGAAGCGTAATAACCGGATTTTCATAAATGAATACGATCGCGATCTAAAATTCCTTACTTAGCGATAGTACGTTAAGGCTCCTCTGGATTAATTTCTTCACTTTGTCGTTATAATATGCATGCAGAATCGTCCCAGTGAAGAGCTGCAGAGAAAATATTACGCGTCATTAACATTCTTTTTTAGCCTCTTTCAGTTCGCTCGCTCTTTGTGGATATTTCATACCGTTCGACGTACCAAGGCTTCCCATTCTTTCCTTCAATAGTACTCATTAGAGAAGTTTTCAATTTATTCGTTGTTAAAAGAAAAAAAAACTTATTAAAATATAATGCGGTATATAAAATACAAGTATTCTGATAGAAAATTATAAAGAAAGAGGCGCGATTTTATTTTTTACGAAAGGTTAATAATCTGAGAAATTTCTAACGAAGGGAAAACAAAATCAACTTGGGATCTCAACGTGCGTTTCGAAGATCGGGGCCGCGCAGGTAGCGGAGGTGTTTTCCTCCGAGTCACGACACCGGCATTCGTGCCTCTCGTTATTTTTTCAGGCTCAAGGGCCAGCTCTGCAACACGCTGAGCAGCAGACTGGCATTACGCAACGGCGCGCCACCCTTGACCGAGGCCGACAGGAAAGCGGCCGAGGAGCGGCTTCAAAGGCTGCGACGGGACGCCGACAATAAGCGTCTGGCCATTAAGAACCTGAAGCTCGCGCTCGAACGTCTCGATATCACGGAGTAAGTACGAGGAGGGATCGCCGCGGGCTCATTCGCCCGCGTTTATCGTGAATCGCGATTACCGATACCCACGAACGTCATGCCGTAAACACGGCGGCGCGGCGCGGCGCCGAGGAATCTACGTACAAAGTCTGTAGGGCGGTGTAGACAAAAAGCAGAACTTGTCAACGTAATTATCGCAATACCCTTTAATGGAATATTATTATTGCACCGCGCGTATAATCACTTTATCTGACGTTCATCTGATAATTATCGAAATGGTCGGGATGGCTGATGTTTAAGTAATCGATCGAAAGTGTGTTAATTTATTAAATTTATATCTTTAGTTAATAATTAGCTTGATTAAAGTTAATAAAGGTTATTAGATGCCTTTTTAATTTGATAAAGATAGGAAACAGAATAAATTTACTTAAAAGATCTTTTAATTATTTGGTGTTATATTTTAATATTTTAATTATACAATATAAACCAAATTCTAGAGAAATTTATTCTCTAGAATTCTCTATATTTTCTATATAATAAATTAATTTTACGATATTTTTGAGTAAAAATAAAAGTATATGCAAAAAATGTTTAAGAAATGAAATCTATATTGACGTTATATGAAATAATTGAAGGAATTTGTAATAAAGAAACGTTTGAAAACTTTTTTTTATTAAATATTGACTCACAATGGCAATGAGAAAAATTATCTGTTTGTAAAAGTTAATTTTTATACTGAAAGATTGTCTAATGCGAGAAGCGAAATACTTATAAAAAATGCACGTTTACAAGCAATTGTTGAAGAATTATCCTTTATGCATTCACCAGTGTTGTAATGTAATTGCGCTTTCGCAACGCTGATTTCAGCAACATCGATGTTCGAATACAGCAAGCGGAATTGGAGTACAGATTGGGCCGCGAGGAACTCGAGCTGCTGACTCTTCACGAGGAGAGCAGGGCTCTGCAGACCGCCTTGGAGTTGGCCGAAACTCAAGAAAAACAAAAGAATGATACAATATTCAGGTACACTAAAGTCGAGATTTTCCGACGAGAATTTATTTGGAGCTTTTTACATTTTTTATGATAATTCTTTGAATGATTTTTTTTTATCGTTTAATATCTTCATGATTAAACTTACATTACATTATTAAGATTTTATTTACGCTTGTAAGCCTCGCCGGAAGATAATATTTTACTGGCCGTTGTTTGCTTTTCAATAAATTCTTAAGTTCATCGATCGTCCTGCTTGCAGCTGCATTTCCGGCTCGACGCAAGTTACGATCCACGCGGTGGAAGTCAGCGCGGATCCGAAAAGTCCTCGTTTCGGAGCGGGACCCAGGGACGACGCGATCGGTCTCTACGTCGATTGGGCCGTGGAGGATTCCGGTCTTTGTAAGGGAGACAGGTTCGTATTGTCGTGCACCGCACGGAATTCGCGAGTCATCGAATAAATATCGTGCAGCTGCGCCCCGTCGACGAACGGATGGCGATAGCGTTCTGACGTGAAATCTACTGAACTTTGTTCTATTCGCCTCACGTAACAATATCCTTTCTACGTTTGCCTATTTGTCTTATCCTATTCGCCATATCGAAAAATTCAATATGTATGATAAATTCGCAAGCTCGAGCATGAACTTTTGAAATATATATTTTTAATAAATATTTAATAATAAAGCGATTTTCTTTGCAAATTATTTTTAAATTTATAACTCGTTAATTTTAAATATTTTAGTCCTTTATAATTAGATATTTCAGATGTTTTAATCCAGATTTTTAATCCTTTACTTGATAGAATCCATTAAACTCCAATAGAGAGGTTTAAACCAATAACTTCGAGTAATTTGAATGTTATGAAAATTTTATTCCGCATTTAGAATCTTGAATAAATCTTACACTTTACCTAATAGACTTTAAACAAAATTCTTATTCTCAATTGTCAGATGACTTAACATCGAGAATTAAATAAAAAAAACAAAGGGGAGAAATCGAATTGTCGCTCAGGAAAAATTGATTCAACGTTAATTAAGGAGTAATTCGTAAAGTTTGTCCAAATATTAAACGAGCGTTAAAAAAATAAATTAAATGTTAAAATTAAATTAAATGTTAAATATCTGCAAAGAGAAATATGGCATTTAATTTTCAATCTAGAAAAATTACTTTTAAACTTTTTAAATACGTCGGAAACACGAGATATATATATATACTTCAGAGATATATGCTTTCGGAGCTTAAGGCTTACAAAGTCAATCAAACATATTGACAGCAGCGGTGATACTTCCTGTGCGCGGAACTGTAAATCGAGCGTCGACCGTTTTGTTTTACTACTCTCGGTGATGTTACAACACAACGCGGATGAGACACTCCTCCGCGTTTCTGTGAAAGGAGACGGCCGCAGTGCACGTAACTGCGAGAGCTGCGGGATAAACCGTTCCATTTCGCGCGCTCTTTAATCATCGTCTAACAGGAGCGGAAAAAGCCCTGGTTTCTGTCGACGTAAGGCTCACGCCGCTCTCTCGGTTCGGAACGAATATACGCTCCCCGATGATTCATGAAGCTGCGCAACACTCTCGCGACTCTCGAGAGCCTCGAATTACATTTGCATTACATTATGTCGGACGGAAAACGATTTGCGATTCTCGCTCGCATTGGTATTTTCCATGTAAATCGCCGCGGCACGAATTCGATCGAGTCGGGTGAGAAAAAAAACAACGAAAGGGAGACTGTACTCTGGAAAAATCGGAATTCAAGGAGCTCTTATATCAATTCGAGCACACATTCCAGCCCTGTTATAGTTGCGGAACGGGTGAAGGAAGGGTGTCGAGGAATCATGGTGTTTGTGCACGACGGCGTGGTAGTAACTACGTAACGTGGCTATCGGGGAAGAACAATGCGGCAATCTTGACATTCGGTTCCCAACGGGTCGCTGTAGCGTGAAGCGGCACCGGAAGTTCGCCGTGTGCCCCCGTTAATTGCACCCGCGACTTCACATGACCCCACCTTCTACCATTTTCCACCAGTATATATACCCGCTCAAGGGAATTCGTTCGTACGACCGGCAATGTTCTGGAGTTACTTGCTTACGTTGCGCGTCGGCTGCTCGAAAATCGTGTAAATTAATCAGCGTTTTCGGTTCAGAGCGCTCGATTTCAGAGACGCATTTTCGAGAGCGGGCTTGCACGCTTATCCGTCAATCGTGCTTAATTGTGTAATATTTAAAGACAAGCACGCACGGTGGAATGTGCAAATGAATACTTATAACTATAGCATTTAAACTTTGGATGTTGGAAATAAAATTTTTATGATGTCAAAAACATTACTGGACAAATTTTAGAAGCGGACAAATTTTACTGGACAAATTTTAGAAGCTGGACGAATTTTAGAATTTTAATCAACGTGAAGACGATTTTTCTTTAGTGAAAACTCCTCCTTTTTGAAACAATCTTCTTTCTGATCGCTTCTTTAATCTCGACATTAAATATCTTAACGATTAGCAAACAGGAATTAAATTCTATTGAAGCATAAAGTCCAATCAAGTGAATCAAAATAAAGAATAAGATTTTCTTATGTACAATTTAATCGAAAATTTTTACTCAAATCTCGTATTGCTTCTCACGGAATAACTGAAGATAACATACTTTTGCGGGCATAATTTTTTTCTAGTTCCCACACACTGCTATTCGGTACGCGTCATTAAGCCCAGCTCTGTGCATAATTTCGCTTTATAATTTGTTCGCATAGAATGTTACAATCAGCATTAGAATGTTATAATCAGGTATCATAATAATCGTTAACTAGATTTTAGAATAAAATTATATATTATTTTTGTATTTTAATTTACATTTTATATATTAATGTGTGTACATATCCTGAATATTTTAATGTTTTCTATTACACGTAAAATTATTAATAGAATTCTATTTTGAACCTTTTGAACTTTGACATAAATTATAGACAGAATTATAGATGGTTTAAAATGATTTAGGCAATCTGCAATTCACGACAGAATTCGGGATGTAATTCTATTTACAATTTTATATGCCATATTTTGATTTGTATATTTTATTTTAATATTGTTTAATTATTTTAATATTCATAAGTATTCTTGTTCTTCAAATGTTTATTACAGAACGCGACGCATTAAATCATAAATAAAATTTCATCTTATTGTTAGATCTCGAATTATGGCTCGTCTAAAATCGTTCAAGTTTTATGACAGAACGCGGTCGCAGATGCGCACGACTGATCGGCCAACATTTCTTTTCAGAATCTTGGAAGTGAACGGAAAACTCGTGGTAGGAGCAGGCAGGAGCGACCTGGCTCGTCTTCTAGCCGTCGCGCCCGACGCCGCGCAGATAGTGGTCCTTCGAAAGGGCGAGTCCCTCGCGGCGTTGCGCACCCTTCGCTCCGATAATCTCAGGCTGACACACAGGATCGGTTATCTCGAGGAACAGGTCAGAGATCTCTTGGCGCCGAGCAGGACCGAGGTCCCCACCGAGGATCCGCCGACGAGTCGTCAGGAACATGTACAGGTAAACGCTGGCGCACTCGAGATCGAGATAAATCAACGCGCCTCGTCTTTTCGGAAGAAGCGCATCCGCGTCGACGAGCGGAGATTCGTTCAGCATTTCTGTTCAGCGTTTCAGTCACGAACATCTCAAAATTCTATTTTTATTATTAAACTACCATTTAATTATATTAATATTTATTTAATTATATCATTTAATTATATTGAATATTTGTTTATAAATTGTTATAATTTAAAAATTCATATCTCAAACGAGACTAACTTTATAAGATAGAAAAATATAGATAAATAATATCAAGACTGGCTGTATCAATAAAAAGCAGGAATATTAATTAAGATAGTTGATATCGATGAAAACCTTTTTATCTTTTATATAAAATTATACTGTATATTCTTCGCTGCCTTGTTTAATTAGCGTTATTTTCTTAGCGAGAATTTATGAGAAGTCTTCATTTTTTTCTCCTTAAGAGATTTAAATAAACGGATATTTAAATCTCTTGTAAAATGAAAACTTCTCATAAATTCTCGCTAAGAAAATAACGCTAATTAAACAAGGCAGCAAAGGATGTACATAATTAATAGAAGAAATGCTGGTTGAACGATTATGAATCCTCATTTAATTAGGTTTTCGCAATCGATCGAAATTGAATGCGTTGATTTGAAATCTCAACTTTTTGTGTCGTAGGTTTTCCAAAAGGGGCCTCAAGTGACGGCACTCGTGGCGAATCTACCTGGTCTCAACGTGAGAAGCTGCACGGAACTGCGGCAGAGTCTGCCGACCGTCCGGAGTAGACACAGCGATCACTCCAGGCGCCTGCAGACGGACTCGAGGAGCCAGCGTGAACTCGACTTCTCGTCCGATGGAGTGGCGAACGGCCATCACAAATCCCGGAATCGACAGAAGCACCAGGGACTGCAGCTGGCCAGGTCGACGGCCAGTCTCGACTGCAAACAGTCGCCGGTGCAGACACAGATGCAGCGTCGAAGGTCACCGCGCGTCGAATCAGCCATGGAGCACTTGCACAAAGGTCGCAAGAGCGGCTCGCAGCTGCATTCCCTGGAGTTTGACTCCGAGCCGACTTACTACCGTTTGCAGGTGCCTATATCGTTTGCGATATAATTACGACGTGGCATATGATTAAGATGACAAATCGCTGAAACCAAATAGCTGTTATTTCATAACGAGTCGACAGAACAAATATCTCTATACCGATACCTTTGTCTCTTCTTGCACTTAGGATTCCCAGTCCCGCGCGTCGGAGACTTCGGAAGTGTCGACGGTGTACAGCTCCCAGGAGGCGAAGACCCGACCGGCGCCGCCGAAGAAACCGCTGCGTCTCTCCCTGCACCGCGCGGCGAGTCTCCAGTCCGTGGAAAGCGCGCCGCCGGCCGCGCTGCAGCACGACGTGGCGCGAAAGCCGACGAAGAGGAATCACCGCGGCGATCCGCCCACGGAGAAGACTGCGTCGCGGCCCGAGATGAACGGGAGCGCGAATCCCCAGGAGTCCCACGCCGGTCCGCCGCAGCCGCCCCCGAGGACGCCCTCCAGGGCGGAATCGTGTCAGAGCGCCCTGCGATGGCCCTCTCCGAAGCCGAGAGCGCACTTGACGTCCGTGCCAATGGAGAAGTGGTGCTGAACGTTGTGGGAATTCGCGGACGTTTCTCGGACGAGAGGGCGAAAGGGAGGGTAAGCTGAAGCGGTTTGTGAAAGCGCAGCATTCGACATTACGGCAAATTGCGAGAGAAAAAAAATTAAAGCATTCTCGATATTATTAGTGACGGGGAAAAATGAAAACGGTGTATAAAAGTTTCGTCTAACAGATTCTTAAGACATTCGATTTGGATTTGATTGCAGCATTGCGAGCTGGTAATGCGTTGGAGATGCGGTTCGATCTACGCGGCTTGCTTTATCAAATTCAATGACTAGCACATTCCACATTGATTGACTCTAATCAAGATTAGTTCTAAGTGTATAGTATTAAATATTTACAGTATAATTTTACGGTGTATGTCACATTTCAGGAGCGCGTCATGTCGCGAGGATTAGAATCTAAGATCAATGTCTTATAACGAAGTTTATCTTAGCTCGTCTCTTTCCGTGAAATCTTACACTCATTTTCTGAAACGAAATATTTATCGATCGCTCGAGAGAATAAAGAAATGTAAGACTGATAAATCGCATATATTATCACGGATAGAATTTGACTTTGAGTAAAAAGAATATAGATATGCATTCAAAAAATGTGCGCCTGGTATCTCTAATATACTTTATATTTTAAACGTATATACTCATTTTCCCTAAAGTTTTCTAAAAGTTCTATTAACTGATTAAAAAAAAACAGTATTTTTTTAAAGCTTTTCAAGAGATTGTGTTAATTTTCAGTTTTAAACAGAGGAAAATCCTCGAAATCAACACATCTGGCAATCGCCTGGATATAATTAATCGATTTACTGGGCTCAAAGATTTAATATTTGAACCTAGTATTGGATTTAGTATATGAACATATTAGATTTGGCAAATATTAAGACTTCTACGTAATATACTCGCGTTTTCCCATGTCAAACGACAAATTAGAGGCCCTCTTTAAAGGGTCTCCAGTTTCAGTGACATAATTTAGTGTACATACATGTCTCATGTCCGCGCTTCCAGGGAAGATATATTTGCTAATGCAATTCTATGTGTAAAGATGATACATAAACTCATTATATTGCAATTCCGTAAGATTAACGTTGTCCGCTAGTTAAGTGTATAAATGTACAAAGTTATTATCGTGGTTTATCTTCGGATTAACCAAGAGAATTTCGAATATATACAATATATTTCACAAATGTGCATTCAAAAACATTTATTTTATAACGTAACCAATTACGTAGTAGTGGTAAAAAGTTAGTTACGTTAGCGTAGAAATAAAATTCCGTACAAAGTACGTTAAACGTACATTAGAATATATAAATATACTTATAATCTTTATTTAGCACTATTATCAACCGAAAATGGCGAAAATATAAATGGAAAATATTTGCAAGTTCTTTGTATCTTTGCGCGATAGTCATAAGTTAATGTGCGTATATAAATTACAAATTTTTGTTTCTTAAAAAAAAAAATTGCTAGTCCTGTCGCTATTTCTGACAATACATCCAACGAGCTGCGCATTAACGTTGCACACGTGCAGCGCTATTTAGACTCACGAGCTGCACTGCCGTTTATACTTTGTAGGTATATCACGATTAAAACGACGTTTCTAAGGAAAATAATTTTGACGAGGTACTTCCAAGCTCGGCAGAAGACGGATCGTACATTAAAAATATATATAGAAAATGTATAAATGTATTTATTAAAGGGCAATAGAGTACAATATCGTTTTACGCAATTATTTCGACACGCATGCGCGGCAGAGTCTCGCCACTAGAGCGTGTAATTGTAACAAACTGTTGATACCTTCTACCACTCCCATATGTGTTATCCCAATTTCCTGCGAGTATTAAAAAATATTGTCTAAAGTATATAAGAACGAAGCACGAGTAATATTGTGTCATCGACACAAGTTAATGCTGCAGCGTGTAATTTACCTTAACAAATTTCAGCTTCAGTTTCTCATCCATAGTGTGATTCTTGCAAACCTTAAATACGTTACTGACTATATCCTCCGCAGAATATCCCATTTTCCAGAAATGATCCATTACCTGGTAAATATAAATATAGTAATTTGTAAATCTAACATGATACATACATGTTCTGTATACATATCGAAATCTTTCAGCGCGTACTTACCGTGCATGCTTTAGAGACGTCTCCTTTTATGCAATTGTCCAGCATCTCTTTGACAATCAAAGGATGAGGCTCGTCACAGACTTTGAACACATTCTCTGCATTTACGTGATTGAATCCGTTATACGTGGACTGCAGATTATTCAGGGCTTGTCTCATGTCCCCTTGAGCTGTAAATATTATCGCTTCCATACCGTCATCCGTATAGGAAACCTGCAAAAAAACAGTAAAGCGTAAATAATTTCGTAAATCAGATTGGGAGAGTCCCCAGTCCATCTGTAACATTTTAATTACATTCTCCTTCTTGCAGACTTCGAGAACTTTGGCCAAGACTTGGGCGTCCGTTAACTTTCCGTATCTCAACATAGCGCATCGTGATTGTATTGGTTCGATAATCTCCTCCGTGTTGTTGCACGCGAGAGCAAATCTGGTCGTATGGCTGTAAATTTCCATCGTTCGGCGTAACGCCTGCTGCGCGCCATCGGTCATGCTGTCCGCCTCGTCTAAGATAATGATTTTATGCTTCCCTCTCGGCAGATTCACCTGCAATCATATGGAAGTGTCAAAAGACTTGAAGAAGAGCTTCCAGTGTCTTGAAAATTTTACCTTCTTCTGAGCGAACATTTTAATTTTGTTTCTGACTACATCTATTCCCCTCTCATTCGAAGCGTTCAGTTCGAGTACAGCCTCTTTGAACACCGGCCCCAACAGGGTACGGGCCAAACACAAAATCGTGGTAGTTTTGCCGACCCCGGGTGGTCCGGCGATGATGATATTTGGAGTGTTTCCATGCTGAGCGAAGACTGCTAATCTGGATACAGTATCCTCGTTGCCAACAATGTCGGAAAAGACCTGGGGCCGATATTTCTCAATCCTAAATGAACAACAATTAATAATAACATTCTTATTATTAAATAACTAATATTTTTACATTTATAACTAACGATATTGTAATTAATAATTTATATCATTCAAAATATATTTAAAATTAAAGAGATCTTCATGTAATTAATCAATATTACTATCAAAAAGTATAAAACATTGCTATTTTTTCTAAAACTTTATCGACAAACAATCAACAAAATCAATCGACTTCTAGGCAATCGTTAGGAAGAGCAATATTATTATGCTCTTGATCTCCAAATATATAAATGCTAGTTAAAACAAAGATTAAGAATTAAAATATTCTTTCAGAGTGTCTAATTATGTTTTCCAAACTTTCTAGATTTAAGTATGTCACTTTGTTTAGAGCCGGAAAATTTAGCGAAAGACGATAGATAACCTCAAACAACGACAAGGCAATCAAAAGCTAGAAACGAAATTTTCTGCAGAAATAAAACGTACCACGGTAGATTTCCAGATTTCCCATCTTTTTCCTTGGTCTTCGTGTCACCGCGGCTGGTCGACGGTAAAATCTCAGTCTCCATAGCTTTGTCAGCATGGTCAGCAATATCGTCACCTGCCATCTTCGAATTCACGCCGATTGCGCGGGTAAATGGTTATGACAGGTTATGATCGTGAAATAAGAAAATAGAGAGAGAGAGAGAGAGAGAGAGAGAGAGAGAGAGAGAGAGGAATGCAATGTGCCATTTCAGACACCCACTAATAAAAAGATCGAGGCATTTGGCTGCATCATATTGCTCATGATTTCTATCAGAGGATTTATACAAATATAAATGATCAGATTTATGATTTGATGATGCAAATATTTATTACTAATCACACATATATACAGAGAGAATAAAAAATTTTTAATGTTGCAGTCAAATCTCCTTGAAATGTGAAACTTTCCATTTTTTTATATTTTCGTTAAGTCTTTTATCCTAAATAATATTATACGTTTATAAATCAATATATAAGCACAACCGTTATTTATAAATATAAATATTTTTATACATAAGTATGTACGCATATATGTATGTACAATAGAGACATATGAAATTATACATTAACTTTTTTTTGCGCGAAAATGAATTAGATTACGTAAGTGATCATAAGTTAATGGAAAACTAAAAATTGATGAGACAGCTGCATTAAATATTATTTCTCGCAATTAACGTGTCAGCGCACAATTTCTATGTACAATCGAATATGTAGCAGAGCTTTTTCGTAAGCAACGAAGAAGCAGCTCCTGCGAAGCCAGACGTTTATATCGAGATGGCCGTAGCTCTGACAGCGGCGCTCAGCAGAGGATTCGGATCCGGCTCTTCTGTCAGAATGTTAACTTTCGCCCATCCGCGCTGTTTGTTACTTTGTCGCAGCGCGTCGATAACCGCTTGCACGTACAGGCCGTCCTCGAACGTGGAAGCGGAGAACACCGGCTCCTTGATCCAACCCCTTTTATCCTCCACAGACTGGAAGGCCTCCCGCAGCGCCGCGATCATCTTCCGCAGTCCCTTGATGTAAGGCCTGGGTATGGAGTCCGCGATCGGCAGGGATATTCCCTGCAAGTCGTCTGTGTCGCGATACAGGATCTCCTCTTGCTCGCCGCGACATCCGTACAGATCACCCCCTCGCACGACCAGGTGATTCCCACCGCCGCATATTAGCACCTCCTGGGACAGCTGGCCCTGCAAGTGATTGCTCAGGGTGGCCGTTACCAAGGTACCGCCGCTCAGCTCCATTTGAAAACTGCAGAAATCCGGCGACGTGACGTGCCGGATCCCGTTGATGTACTTGGTCGTTTGGGTGAACGTTCTCACGACAGCGTGCACCCTCGAGGCTCGTTGGCCCATCAAGTGAAAAATCAAATCTATAACGTGACTGCCCACCAACGCCAGAATTCCTCCGCCCATCGTGTCGTCGCACAGCCAATCGTATCCTGAAAAGAAAAATTTACACGCATAAATTAAATTGCGATTTAAATGCTAACACTAGATTTTATGCAAATTCTTGGATTGTACATAAGATTGGAACCAAATATAAGAACTGTAATCTCGAAATTTCTTAGTTATACATAGAACAAAAAAAATTATACAATGAAAAAAAACAATTTAATTGTAAATTCCATCAAATTTGAGAATCTTTTGTCTTAAAAAAATTGTCTTTGTTTCAAACTCTCAACAACTTCAAAATCTCTACATAATTTCGAGATTTTAACAAGGTTTTATATAATTTTAAGATCAAAGTTAACGTAATTTTAAGATTATATAACTTTAAGTGTACAAAAAGTCTTGTATTCGATTTCTCCATGTTTACCATTGTGCAACAAGCTTCCCATGTGCACTCGCACTTCAATGACTGTAACTGGTCCGCCCAAGTACCCGTCCTCCAACGCCTTCTTCATGTGCGCGAAGGCCGGCAAGAACCTCAGGCTGTGATTGACTATGCTGATCAGCGAGGGATAATACTGCGCCGCCCGAACCATCTTCAGGGCCTCGCTCTGGCTCAGGCCCGCGGGCTTGTCGCACACGACGTGCTTCCCGATGCCCAGGGCTTTGACGGCGATCTGGGAGTGCAGGCTCGGCGAGCACATTATGAAGATCAGATCGACGTCCTTCCGCAGGAGAACGTCGTCGATGCGGCTGGTGTGAAACGGTATCTGCAGGTCGCTCGCCACCTGCGAGACCTCCGCCAGCGTGCGGCCCCATATCGCCTCGATTCTGAAGCCCTTCTCCCTCAGGAAGGGTATGATGATCCTGACGATGCTGCCTGTGCCGAACACCCCGATGCCGGGTAACGTCATCCCGAACGCGTGTGGGGGACACACTCTGAGACGCGTTCCTGTCTCTCGTATCTGTCACCGCCACTTAAATTTTTAACCTATAACGGCAACGCAAATAATCTCCATGTGTGTTTCTGCGGCGAAGGATAAGGATGTGTGCCCGGCGGTTCACCTTCGGTTTTGCTTGCGGACATTTAATAGCGTTTCTTCACTTTCGATCTTTGGAATTTAAATTAAAATGTAGATCACGTATCTCTCTCAGCAAATTTGTTTTGATTTGTTTACGACGGCAGTCGTGAATCATCGCATGGCATCGACGAGGGCGACGACAGACAGCCAAAGGCAGATTTTCGTAACTAACGAGTGGGCTCGAGGGGTAATTGAAGAACGATGACATTACCAACGATTTTGGCTCGGTCACCGGTGAACTTACCGACGTGTCTGCCAAGATTTGTTGACATAGACGCGTCTATGTATACTTCTACGTCGATGACTTGCGACCATTATCATTGATTAACCGAGGTTCCCCGAGCTCGCCCGAGGGCTCGGAACTACGATCTCTCTTCCTTCCCGCTCCTGGGAAAACATAATATTCCCCTTCGCAATCCGTTGCTCGCCTCGCGCGTAAGTGCAACGCGACGCGACGCGACGCGACGCGACGTGATCGTGATGTGATGTGATGCGACGTGCGCCCGTCACGTCCGCTAAAACCGCACCGCTCGTCCGGACTCGCCGAAATATGTAAATACGCGGTCGCGCGCGCGCGCTGTCTGTCTCTCTCTCTCGCTCGCTCGCTCACGTATCAGCTGTCCGTTTCCTCCGGAGTCATCCGGAGTTCACGTCTCTCCGCCGCATCGCGCGGCCGACAATCCGCGCGCGGGTGGTGATCTCTAACTCGGCGATCGCGAGCGATGTCGGAGGTACGCAAGAGAACGGCCGTCGGGGGCGACGCGACGTCGTCGGCGGCGACGCGGGACGTCAGCGACGATCAGGTAGGGAAAAAAAAAAAAGAAAGAAAGAACGAGACTCCTCTGTACTTCCGCCCTGGTTACTCCTTTTCCCTCCGTTTCTCCCTCGCTTTTTTTTCGGCATTTCGATGTTTACGCAGCCACCGCTGCCGCGGCCGCTCTCGAGGACTATATCGATCTGCGCCGTCGGCGCGACGTACGGGCTGTATTATTTGTTGTTACGTATATTTGACAGCTACCGAACACACGCCGCGCGCCACGGTAATACGTGACACGTATTGTGTGTAATACTAGGCCTGTTCTCTATAGCTGAACTGGCTGCACCAGTTCAGAGTTTATCTTTTTTCTTCCAATGTAAAAAGAGAAAGATGAACTGTGAACTAGTGCAACAGCTCAGCTGTAAAGAACAGGCCTGATGTATATGTTATATGTATGTATACACACACGTGCTCGCGATATTCGCGGTACGCACATGCATTCGCATGAATCTTCCAGGGGGATCTTCCGGAGCGGGTGGCGGGAGGGAGGGGGAGGGCTGTTTTGGCACAGATCAGCCGTTCGACGAGTGAGAGAGAAGCGGGATCCGGTTTGCAAGTTAAAGGAAGAGGGGAACGTTAATGCAGCGCGATGATTTCTTCGTTCTCATAGGATCGAAGTCGAGCCTCGGATCATATGAGATTCACATGACTGGCGGTCTCCGAGGGGACGGGGAAAATGAGAGAAACCTTTTAACCTTTTAAACGCGTCACGCTCGTTCCTTCCGTCCCGCCCGGCGATCGCGAACGTTTGCCCGATGCTTTTTTAATTAGAAAAATGCCCTCGCGTGTCCCCAATGCATTTTAATTCGTGTCGCATTTGTCGCGAATATTTAACTTATACTTTAATGCGCTACCGCTATTCTCTCCTTTGATTCCTTTCGTTTTATTCCATTTTCTTTTTCATATTTCGATATACAATAGGAGAATGTACAACGAATGTATTTTAAAAGTAATTATATAGATGTTCGTGCAGTTTGTCTGATTTTAACTGTCTCTCCTTTTGATATAGCCACATACACACTCAGATTTTATAAAATAAAATTTTGCTATTTATATTTTCTTATCTCTGAATACATGTATATTAATTGTTCCTAGCATACATGCTAAAAACATTAGTATGTATACTAGCTGCTAGGAGCAATATATTATAATAATATATGCATACCATGATCCACGATACATATATGTATTAATGTCTTCAACAATGTCTTGTGTAAATCTAGCACATATTTTTTGGTATTTAAAAACTTAATAAATAGGACATTATCAAAAGTACAAACTTTTGTAGCTGTTAAATAATTTGGGAATAGAAGAGTTAATATTTATATAATATAATATTGTACAGGGGGGATTTTCTTTTATATATTTATTTTATACAATAATTTTCTTGGGATATTTAATAATATTTAACGAGAGCACACATTTAATGAGATGTGCGCTATATTACAGTAATTTCAAAATAATTTTACATCCAGTAATTAACGCCAATAATATCTTCGATTTTCTCTCAGAAGGAAGATGTCGAATCCGAAGATGATGCGAAATTGGAGGTAGAGGAGTTAGCAAAGAGTCTACCTCAAGGAACTGACCATACCCCACATATTTTAAGTTCTGTTCTCTCCGGTCTTCCAGATCGGTAAATATACATTATTCTTTGTGCAACTGTTCCATCCGAATTCTGGCATGAATTTCTAACGATGCGGTTTCTTGCAGTTGGCGAAATTGGATAATTAGAACCATTTTCACTTGGTTTATGATAGCCGGGTTTTGTCTCATTATTTACGGGGGTCCGTTAGCGTTGATGATTACAGTAAGTTCCCTTCATTTACTCATATTATTAAGGGATATACGATATCTTTGTTTGCGTGTGCAAAAGATTAACGTTTCCTCGTATTTCTTTTTATAGACGCTGATTGTACAAGTGAAATGCTTCGAAGAAATCATTAACATTGGATACGCTGTATATAGGATCCATGGTCTACCATGGTTCAGATCTTTATCGTGGTATTTTTTGATTACCTCGAATTACTTTTTCTATGGTGAAAATTTAATGGACTACTTTGCGGTGGTGATTAATCGAACGGTAAGCGTCTCTCCTCCGATCTGAAATTTATTTAAAAA